GCTGGCGAGAGCCTGGCCCAGTGGCTGGTGGCAGAGCACCACAGGCCCAGCTCCTGTGGCCACCTGGCCCGTCCTGATGGTGAGAGCCTCTCAGTGCACAGATCTGAGGGCGGGGGTCATCTGTGCCCCGTCGACGGTGGAGGCAGTGCCTCCCATACGTGGCACAGGGCGCCTGTGGCCAGCAGGCCTTCCTGCTTCACGCGCGAGCGTTGAGCTGTGGAGCTGGCGCTGGTTTCCGGTGCAGGTGGCAAGTCTGTGACAGTGTCTGTGTCGTTTGTCTCGCCAGGGAGCCTCTCCTTGTCGGAAGTCGCCAGCAAGCTGGACCCAGAGACACTGCAGAGACTGAAGCAGGAGTCGGGGGGGCTGCAGACGCTGCTCCGGAACCACCACCAGGTGTTCGCAGGTGAGGGCTGTTCCCAGGTGTGACGCCCTGCTCCTGACGCACGGAGGGTCCTTACACCCCCGTCCGGCATCGCCGTCCCACTTTCCTGTTTGAACGAACCAGTTGTCTTACGCTCGTTAGAGTTATGGAGGCCATGGTGACAGCACGGGAGCCGGCTGCCCCCACTCCTGCCCCGCTGCTGACAGCCCCAGCAAGGTCTCCCCCCCGATCCCCGTCACCTGCGCGATGCCCTGGGCTAGGCTACTGACAGCCCCGGCAAGGCCTCCCCCCCGAGCCCCGTCACCTGCGTGATGCCCTGGGCTAGGCTGCCGTCGGCTCTGCGGACACCCTGCGTCAGGGTCTGCCCCTCTGAGCCCCGTCCTCTGTACAGTGTCCTACATTCCCTGTGCGGTGCCCCGCGTGTGAGCATGCAGTGTACATGCGTGGTGCTCGTGTTTGCATGTGTGTCTGCCACTCACAGCGCACACGTGTCCGCATGCGTGACTGTGCTGTGTACATGTGTGGTGTGCACACTGCCTTTGGAGCCGTGGTCATTCTTTGTACGGCTGAACTTGGATCTCCTGTAACTCAATTCCATCTGGGTGTGTGCAACTGTGAGTGAGGAGGTGGAGGAGGGTGCTGGCCCCCACCCCAGGGGAGGGCGCCGGGTGACAGGGCTTTCTGGGCTCAACGTCCAGCCGTTCGCGGTGGCCTGGAGCCAGCGCCTCGTTCACGGTGTCAGCCAGCACCCTTCCTGAGCCGCACGCACTGCCCATCATCCGCTTCTCAGCTTTTTATTTGATTTTGTGGAACGATCCTTTCTCTGCTATAACGTGAGAGTGTGTGGTGGCTTTCCTGGCAGGTCACGTGAGGACACGTCGATTCCTAGAGGCCTTTCT